GCCCCGTGACCGCCGTTCTCCCGCAGCTGGTGGAGCTGAAGAACGGGGAGACGTACAACGGGCACCTGGTGAGCTGCGACAACTGGATGAACATCAACCTGCGGGAGGTGATCTGCACATCGCGGGTAAGGCTGCAGCACCGGCACCGGTACCGGTACCGAGCACGGCAGGGCCCGCGGGGAGCACCGGGAGCAGACAGGACTGGCACCCAGATCTGTCCCCAAGGGTTCCCCAGCTCTGTCCCCAGCCAGGCTGGCTCTGCTGTAATTCACATCGCTGCTATGGAGGTGTAACCTCTGCCTGAAAGGCAGATTTAATGTCATTATTGATAACGGTCATTTAATTATTGATAATGCCCATACTGAAGGAGCAGCCCTGTGTGTGTGCCCCCTCTCTGCACATCACAGGATGAGGGGCTGGGGTCCCTCATCCCCCTGGGTGAGGAGTGGGGGGCCACATCCTGTGATGCTAATCCAGGTTTCCCAAAATCCAGAGCCTTTACCTGTGCCAGGCAGCCTCAAACACCACAATCTCTTTTTTCATTCCCTCCAATCTCTTTTATTCCTTCCAATCTCTTTTATTCCCTCCAATTTCTTTTATTCCCAAAAGAATATTTGGAATATTCTTTTATTCCCAAATCAATCTTTTTGATTTCCTCCCCTCTCCACATCCAGCTGACTTCACCCACTGAGGCTGAAGGGACCTTTGGAAGCTCTGGGACCTTTGCCCTTGGCCAAAGTTGCTCTGGGAGATTGGGATCTGTGTTTTGGGCTTTGACCTCCATCAGAAGTGTCTGGTGTGGTCCCTGTGGGCAGCACAGATGGTGGGAGCCCAGCTGCTGTTGTGCTTTCCTTGTTCTTGCGATCCTTGTTCTCCCAAAAATCGTTGGAATTTTGGAATTTGTGGCTGGGTTTTGGGTCACGGTGGGACGAGGATCCGCTGTTGAATTTAGCGGGAGGGACACTCAGAGGAGGTGACAGCAAAGTCAGGACACAGGTGATGATTCCCTTTCCTTGGAAATTTGCTTCCAAAGGCTCAATGCTCTGCCTGGGGAGAGCAGCAGCTCAGGTTTGATGGGGAGGGATCACCCAGAAGGACATGGGGATGTTGGAGCGAGCCCAGGATGATCAGAGGGGGATGGAGCAGCTCTCCCGTGGGGAAAGGCTGAGGAATTGGAGAGGAGAAGCTTTGGGGTCACCTCAGTGTGGCCTTCCATTGCCTGGAGGGGCTGACAAAAACATGGAGAGAAACTTTGGACAGGGGATGGATTGAGAGGACCCAGGGTTGGGTGGGATTTTGGGGAGGAATTCCTCCCTATGAAGGTGGTGAGGGTTTGGGATGAAATTCCCACAGCAGCTGTGGCTCTGTCCCATCCCACAGTCCAGGGGATTGTGTCCCCATCCCTTGGACACAGGGAGGGCAGGGTTGGGTGGGATTTTGGGGAGGAATTCCTCTCTATGAAGGTGGTGAGGGTTTGGGATGAAATTCCCACAGCAGCTGTGGCTCTGTGCCATCCCACAGTCCAGGGGATTGTGTCCC